TATATATATATATATATATATATATATATATATATATATATATATATATATATATATATATATATATATATATATAATTTAAAATTGTTATAAATAAATTATAAGGTTAGGATTGAAAGTAGTTATGGATTATGCAAGAACATACCCGTGTACATAACAGATAGTGTACAAATAGAAATAACTTCTAAATGATTGCCAAATTTAGGTTATTCATCGTGCTCACTTAACAATGACATCACCTATTTCTAAACATTATAACATTTCGAAGCAACAAATAATAATTTTTTCAAAAGATGGACGACGACGACCTCATAGATGAGGTTTTACGATATGAAGATGAGATATATAATGAGAAGACAGACACATCAGAGAGGTACAAATCAGATATATTTATAAAAACTTCCATTTCAAACTAAAACAATATATTTTTACCAAACTTATTAGTGAAGAAGAACTCTTGAAAGATCCATCGATCATTTATGGACAACTATATTATTCGAGCGAAAAACCAGAGATATCTTCCAGTGGGATCATTGTCAAAGATCAAGAGTCTACAGAAAAAGTTCCAGAAGTACAGCCAAATAACGGGGAGAATAACCAAGCTCAATCTCCACCAAGAGAAGTGATTGGATCAGTAAGTTAACAATTACTTCTATCATTGAATCACATTACATCCTTCTGGATGGTGATGATAATGCGGATGTCTTATTCACTGCAAGGGTGCTTCACAGGACTTCATCTAACAGATAACCCAAGTACTTAATGTCGAAATGAAATCAACTACAAATTGTAAAATTGACAATTTGAGCGGTTTTAAGTACTTGGATTTTTGACTAATAAAAAGCCACACCTTTTGATTCTATACGAGTCTTAAGCATCAATATTTTTTTATTATTGTTCACAGGCAACACAAAGCACGAATAAATGCATAATGTGCGAATCAGAGGATCACAGTTCAAGTGTGTGTGAGAGAACGACACATCCTAACAACGATGAGGTAATATTTTATCAATTATCACTTTGTAGTCTACATAAATCAAAAAATAACCTAATATATGCATAATGTTAGGCAACATGGAGACGTTACAAGATACAAATGGGCATCGTCCCGCGACCAACTACCTACGTTAGTTGCTTTAATTGTTCTAGTAGTAATCATGGAGGGCGCGTACGTATAATATTTTCGTTGAATACCGTTACTTAAATCCTATTAATATGCAATATGTTTTGTTTGTCAATTTAAATACTATAGGATTGTCCGGATTATTCCCGTTATAGGACTAACGGACGTTCACGGAGTGGTTCATCAAAGTCAACATCTACAAACTCTACAAACTCTTTGTATAGGGACATCAGATTGTATTAGCTAATAATATTAGTAAAAATATTTCCTTATTCAGAAATGTTTCAAGAAATTCGAAATTAACACTCAATTTACAAAAATCTAATGACTTCTATATAGAATCATTCCATGCAAATTTATAAGGATTATTACTTATGTATTGTAATCCTCATTTCATTAAAATTTTAATAAATTCAACAAATCAAGCAATAATGTTAATTAACCAATATAATTACTTTTACTTTTGGCGCCAGATCTGTTTTCCTTGCTAGACTTCGATTTTATATAAAAACTATATTTTTATAAAATATTACACGGCCTGTCAATCATAAAAAGAAGCACCTTCTGCTTGTTTCTAGTTCCGGCTAAAAATCAGATAATATTTAATTAGTTATATTTTCGAATTATTTTATCAGGCTAATTAATTGCTTCTCATAACATCTAAATTTTGTAGTGACTATAGATGCTGGTGAAATTAATTTCACCAATTTTACCAATTTTACCAATAATGGTGAAATTATTTCACCACATTTCACCAGCATCTATAGTAGTGACCCGCTCGGCCGGCTTTTAATTTTTAATTTATATGTTTTTATCTAGGAAAATATTAAAAACATATAAAAACTTCTTCAAAAGCTTACCCGGAAGTATTTATAATAAAATAATTTATAAAATTTTGGATTGAAATTTTATAAAAGCTGACCCGGCCGGGTTATGAGAAACAATCAATTAATTTTATATGGCCTTACAGCTATTATCATAATTAGAGGTTGGACCCGTTGAGAAAATCTCTACCCGGGTATTATTAAATTACCCGGGTTATCCGGGTAAATTATTATATATCATATAGCACAATTTCTACCCGGGTCCAACCCCTAATCATAATTTCTGGGACACCTGCTCATTACCCGAAATATTTTTGGTCGTTCGGTAAATTACCTAATTCTCCGGAAATTATATTACTGCATCCGGACTGAAGGTCCGAAGATAGCGATGTAGCTTCCAGAGAGTTAGGTAATTTACCGAACGACCAAAAAGATTTCGGGTAATGAGCAGGTGCCCCAGAAATTATGATAATAGCTGTAATATAAATATAAATTTACAAACCTTGAATATCCATTCATATTCTTCATATTTATCAAATATTCCTTTTTGTAACCACTTGAGTTTGAGTGTAAATCTGGGACCAATTTCTTGTAATTCAGCTTTCTCTTTATTCTTAAACACATATCTGTGGGATTTATATACAAATATTTTTAAAAAGAAGTTTTATATCGATTAATTACATTTTTTACAAACCTGTGGCGTCGAAAAAAAATGAAATCACGTTGGTTATGAAAAGTTGCGACCTGACGTCCTTGAAACTCTGGGACATGAGGAAAAAGTGCCTGAAACCACCGACCAATAGTATGACCAAGCCGTGTATTAAAATTATTAAGAATTAATTCAGGTTTATGACATGATGACCTTCCATGGCCCTGATTTTATCAAGTACAAACTGTTTAAGTATATGTAACATGCACTTGAAAGATTCAATGACATTTAAATTATAGAACACGCTAGTGAGCATCATACATCAATTTCGCGACTTAATTTAATGCTTGTTAATTTAAAATATGCAGTAGGACCTTCAGGCAAATGAACTAAAGTGACAGCATCTTAAAAGGACATATAAATAGGAAGAAGTCAGACAAAACTTACGAGTACATCTAAATGACATATCAGAATTAATAAATAAAGCCTTACTTGGAATTTTTCTGTCTTCGTTTATTATCATTACATCAGTGAAGTCTCGATCCAAACAAGCTTCAATGATTCGCTTTATTGAATATTTACTATCTCTTTTCATAAATTGACTGTTTGGAAACACATCCACTAATTCAGATGTAAACTCGTATGCAGCCTTCGATGGCCTTTTACTAGTAGTTATGAGGATTTTTGGTGCTGTACCTTCACGAAAATAAGCAGAAAATTCATCCGATTCTATGTCTTCACATACTTCAGAATTATTTGGATCAACAATCGTTTCATCAAATTCTCGAGTGTTTTCAAGTGTTTTAGGAATATTTTTTGATAATCGCTCCTAATTTAATAATCAGATATTTTCAATAATTGATCAATTACGAGAATAAATGCGATTTGTTTAAAATACATGCCAATTTTTTTTCAGGATTTTGAGCTTCTTCTTTCTGTCGTTTTAGCCTCATTTCCATTTTAAGACGATTTTTTTCTTGCTTTCTTCGAGCATGAATTTCTTCTCGTTTGATTTTATTTTTTACTTGTGAAGGGACTATTGCACTCATTTTTGCCAAGAGTATTATTGTATTTGGTTTTTTAATCCAGTAAGATAAAATTTAATTTTATTGACATCGCACTCAAATATCAGATATCTGATATTGGTTGACTCCAAGATCAGCCAATCAGATTATCAAAAAATTTTATACAGGGCAATCACCAAAATTCCTGGTCGGAATGCATTTAGGGTTGGAAAATTACCGTAATTTTACGTAATTTTACGTAAGTTTGTGTAAGTTTCTGAAATCATAATTTTTATCATGTAAATAATTTTGGCAAAAATTTTTATAAAGCTGGCATTAAGAATAACATTTCCGAACATAATGATGGATTTCTATTCGTGCTGGCAAAACCTTTATAATGCCGGTACAATTATCATGTGACAATGCACTATTTAATGTAAAATTACATTACAGTTTCGTAATTTACAATGTAATTTCATGTAATGTAAAAATGTAATTTTGCGTAATACAACCCTAAATGCATTCCCGAAAGGACATAATACCGACTAAATTGGCCAGCATTATATATAACTAATGCCAGCTAATTTTGTCAGGATTAGGTCCTTTCGGGAATATGTCTTTCGGGATTTTGTGGTAAAACCAGATATATATATAGGGTGAAGTCAATAGAAAAGGAACAAATTTTTTCTAAGTAAAAGTTTTCTTGATTTTAAGCTTAAATATCTTAGCAACTATCTTATTAAATTTCATAATTTTTTTTATTTTAATTTTATATAATTTCAAAATTAAAATAAAAAAAAATTTAGCAAATTTGATTAATTAGTTAAGATATTTTAATTTAAAAATTAAAAAAACTGTACTAAAAATGATTTGTCCCTTTTCTATTGACTTTACTCTATATACTAAACAATATAAGATTTTTAGAAAGTTGCAAACTATATGTTAATTATGTAATTTAAAAAAATATATTTCTGTAGGTATAAGAAGTACTGTATGTCTTAGCTCAAAACATACTTGTGTATAAGTAGTTTAATTTTTTTCCCTATTTAATTATTATTTTTATATTTATAATTAGTCTAATATTATATAAATATAAAAGAGCATGTCTATAGAGCATGCTCTTAACCCAGGGCATGCTCCTAAAGATATGCCTAATTTTTAAAGCATATCCCAAACTCTATTTAGCAGATATTATCTAATATTCAAATATTTAATTAGTTAATTTACTATACAAAATAATCTAATTTTTTATATTTTTTTTTTTTTTTTTTACTTTTGAAAGGTCTTGCCATAACTTGACCTCTTGGTTTTATTATATATTTTATAGTAAATATATAGATTAATTTCTAAGACTAAACAAAGCCCGACATTATCTGAGTATGAATACCCAAATGCAACCCATCACACTGTGTTTCTAAGAGCTCAGAGTTTGAATTAGTCCCTATTCAAAGGTTCTTACTTAATTTTTTCTACCTAGATCTTGGCAGAAAGGCTTCAGACTAGCCTATTTCTCTATTCATATAGCAAAAGAAAAAAAAAAAAAAAAACAAACAAATATAAGAAAAAGGAATAAGAGAATACAAATATAAAGGTGAAACTAACTAAAGATAGAAAATAACAAAAACCTAAATGTAGAGTTCTAAAAAAAACAATAGAACAAGATAAAAAAACAAGTAAAAACCCAAATAAGGCTAACTACTATTTTAAAAAATTATATAATACTATAAATGCAGAAGTCTCTACTCTAGCTCTATTCTGTATTATATATATTAGTAAAAATATAAAAAAACCCTTCTGAAACTGTAGAGAATTAATAGCCTATTTATGCCTGTGCCAAGACCAAAAAAACTATATATTAACTGCAACTAATCAATATATCTTGTTTGTAAAGCTTTACTTTATCGTTTTGAACTTGTTCCAATTATATTACCAGAGTCAGATATCTTCTAAATAAGGGTACTAATCCTTTTCCTATAATGTAGCACTGTATTGATAAACAAAACAAACATGTGGTTGCATTCTACTAAGTTCATCCGAATTTGGTAAGTGTAAACAATGCCGATCTTTTGGAGGAGGTGAGCCAAAATGCCCACTTTTTTGTCAAAAATTTTGGTATAGATAGCAAAAGAGAGAGAATAGAATAGTCATACTTATATCATAAGTAAGGAGTATAAGATCCTTTGGCTAAATCAACAAAAGTCTTTGTCAAAGCATGCATAGTACTAAGTTTTCCTGGTAAGTGATAATCTCTAAACTTGTCAGCAGATAGTATATGAGAACTATCTCTAAACAACAAGCGCCATGCTTGCAGTAAGTAATAAACTCTGAAACTACTGGCAAATAGCATATGAGAACTATCTCTAAATAATAGTTGCTGACTTGTAGTTCTTTTTCTCATGTCTTATAGTCCAGTATCAACTTTCTGTATGTTTTTAAGTCTGTAGATTTTTAAGAAAAATTTGGTACAAGTGATCGTCAGAAAGAGTTTTTAATTTTTTATATTATTGGTTTGTATATATATATAAATATATACATATTTATATAATTATCAATAGTTTTAATATATATAATTTCAAAACTATATAAATATCATAATTATTTTAATGCAAACTTACTCAACTATATATTATAATTATATAATAGCAGACAAGAAAAAGTTAGTTTAAATAAGAAAAAGCTTATACTAATTTCTAAATTATATTTAGTATCTATTACTTAGTACTTTGATAAAATCAAAACTAATAAAAAAAAAGAATTAGTTCGAGTTAGAAAGAAAAGGATATAAAAATATAAAAAAACTAATACTTGTTTTTAAAATTAGTTTCTAAGCTTTAATTGTTTAATCTATATTTAGTTTAGTTCTTTTTTTTTTTTAAACTTAGACAATTTTACTAGTGCTTTATATACAAAATACTAAATAAATATACCTATTTACTTCTAATTTGCAAACCTGACATTAGCCGGCTATTTTAAAAATGCCTAAGTGCAACCTACTATACTAATCTGAAGTCTAAAATTAGAGATTTATGTTAAACTAGCCTAATTGCCACACTATAATGACTTCTTCTCTCTTTTGTATTTCTTTAATTAACAAGAAATATAATATAAACAATAAAAAAAAAGAGGGTTTAAAAAAAAAGAAACATATCAAGAAAATGAAAATACAAAAAAGAAAAACAAAAGTAATAAAAAAAAAAAAGAGTAAAAAAAACATATGATAAACAAGAAGACTAGTTTAATATAAAACTAAACTAAACTAAAAAGGATAAAAAACTAGAAGATAATAAAAACTCAACTAAAAAAAACAAAAAGGAAGAGTCTGTAATAATACACTGTTATAATATATGCTATAGTTTGATTTATTTTATTTTGCTAATAATTATCTTATTAACAATTATTTTACTAATAAAGTAATTCTAGCTATTATTAGTAGAGTTAGATTTAGAATTAAAGTTAAGGTTGGTGTAGTTTTTTAAAAAACTTTGTCTATTAGTAAAATATATAATTGTTGGTAAAATAAGATATTAGTAAAGTGAAAGAGGTATTGTATTTATAAAGTTGTGTTTAGATCTAACTATAGTATTTACCTTTAAAGTAAGTTTCATAATACTGCTTTTAAAATAAATAAATTAAGTTAGAAAAAAGTAGAAATTAGTAAACTAAATTAAATATATTAAAAAAAATAAAAATAAAAATAAATACTTATTTTTAATAAACATTTTTAACTTTATTAAACTAAATGAAAAAGTAAACTAGATTAAATAAAAGTAATAAATAAATATTGTTACACTCTCAAACAGCAGGTCTAGAGTTTGAATCCCACAGATAATGATTTTAAAAAAACTAGATCTGTATTGGTTAACATTAAGATTATCAATTAGATCCAGATATCTGTAATCTTAGTCATACCATCTCAAATGGAAGCTTTGGTGCAATAAATCCAGAAAATTAGAATTACCAAAAACCCGTTTGGCAAGTTCTGAGTTAGGAGATAGCATAACTTTTAATAGTGCTACAGAAAGACTGAATTTGGAACCAAAAACTGAGATCAGAGAACCGAGCAACCAGGTCCTTTAGTGAGGGGGACACACTAGCCAAACTGCTAAATTACCAATCAGAGAAAAAAGATATATGCTTTAGAAGCATGTATCAAGAGAAGCGAAACTATGAAGCATATAAAGCCTGGGCAGACCAATCCTTCCGGGTTGCCGGTTAGAAGTAAGTAAGAAACCAGTAAAGAATCTAAGGAAGAAAAAAAGTCAAATATGAATACTAGGGTTGTGTGAACCTTACAAGAGTAAGAAGTATGTAATAGAAAACTAATTAGAAAGGTTGTAGCTTAAGATACAGATCGGGTTAAAGCAGTATCCTAAAGGATAGCTTAAGATATGAACCTGGTAACGGCAGTACAACAAGTACTAATTAGGCAAGAAGTTACTAAACATGCAGGTAAAAATATATATAAGACATAGACTACTCTGTTAGGTTTATCTTATAGATAAAGATTAGCTAGAAATAGTTATGAAGTCCTAAGGCAGGGATAGTGAAATGACCCAAATAACCCAAATAACAAATGACTAGTTATTGAGTCATTTCAAATTCAAATAATCCATAGAAGGTTATTTAACATTTGTCAACTTATAATCTAATGCTTTTTAGCCAATAAAAATTGATTATTAGACAAAAAGTAATTTTTACAATGTGTAACACTTAAAGACTACATTTGTTCTATTTGGGGTCGTCAATGATTGTTATATAGTAAAGTTAAAATTATACTATGTA